AAATTGATAATGATATGTTTGTCATAAGAATCCCCATTAAATCCAAATGTTTTAAAGGCCACACATGCATTTTCCAATGGAGGATGAAAATGTGTACATGAAGATACTAATGAAAGACTTGTTCCATGTCTTTGGAGGTGGGCCAGCGGGTGGTTTGGTGGTGAGAGTGTGGATGAGGGGTTATTGTTGTGTGATAGAAGTATAGAAGATGGTTTTTAATAAAGAAATTATTTGGGTTCAGTTTGCTATTTTTGAAAGGTTAGGGACCAAAAGCATTTAAAAAAATTGCACGTTTTAGTTGTTTTAAATGGAGGCATTTTTTTCAGGATTGTCCTTTTAGTTCGTTAGTCGATTCTTGAGGTTTAGATATTTATTGCTAATTTTGGCTAGTTTAGCACCAACTCCAAGTAGCTATTTTGCAATTTTCTCAAGACTAGAGTACAATTTCAGCCAAATATTTTTTATTTTGCAATCTCATAAAAGGATAATTTGGGTCTGTTATGTTTATAGCGTCCGAGAAATTAAATTTCTAATTTTTGGGTGATAACGATTCAAAAAATGCCTAATTGTCATCAAATTTAAGCATTTGGAAAACTATTCAGCTGAATGGTGATAATTTGAAGAGAATAATTTTCAGGGAGAGTGGCAGTGGGAAGATGATTAGGAGGTGCAGTGGGTGCACTTGTCAGTGGTCCTCGTGGAGACCCTTGAATCCTTATCTCTGCGTGCACCAGTCAAAGCTGTTTTGACCATTCTATCCGCTCAAACAACCCTTGGCTCCAATACCATAAAACTAAGAAAGAAAGACAAAATGAGCACTGCAAAAAGTGGTAAATCAATCTTATTATTGACCTGTGCTGAGTACAATTATTTATAGGACTAGGATACACAATTGTGATCGTTTATTCTAGGGATATCTACCAAATTTAGATAACCATACTTTAAAATCTAAATAGATGCACTAATTTCTGGGATCTTCAACAGCGGGGGATCCAGGTGGTGGCGAGCTAGGGCGGCCAATCTAGCTGGATCCGCAGGGATAATTTTTTTTTGTTAACAATAGATTAAATTTTTACCTTATATCTCTGGTAATTAGCTTACTTGGTGAGAGTTGACCTTAATATACTTCAAGTCTCAGGTTTGAATCCTTGTCAATGGATTTGTTATGTATTATTTTTATTCTATAATTTTTACCAAAATTCAATAAGGAGAGGGATAATGAGGATTTGAACCTATGATCTCAAGCAAGGGTTGTGGTTTACTTAACCATTATGGTACCTCTTGAATTGTGTCATTAAATTTAACAAAATGATATTTGTTAGGTTTTGACTGTTTTAATGCAAACAATTTTAAAGATTTGAATTCACACTTTTCAATTGAATTATACAAAACTTGACTACAATGTTATTTGATGAGTTCTATTTATTCTTATAATAGAATTATATATGTTCAGTTTGAACAAAATAATTGTTATGTTTATACTTTAGGCCTTGTTCCATTCCCTTTTTTTTTTAAACTACATTTTTTTCTTTCTTCCTTTCATCCACACGTTCTTCAATAAAATAATATTATACGTAAATTCAAAACTTTTCTTTACTTTTAGTCACATATTCTCCATCAAATCACCATTCCAAAATGTATTTTTTGCAAAAAAAATGGATATCAAAAGGACTTTTAGCCCTTGTTTGATTCCCATTTTTGGGATAAAATGAATTATGGAATAGTAGTTTTTTGAAGAATGTGTGGTTAAAAAGTAAGGAAAAATTTTTGAAATTCGTGTATAATTATTTTATAAAAGAATGTATGGTTGAAAATGAGTTTTGGAAAAATGCATTTTTGAAAAAATGGAAATCAAACAAGGGCTTAATATTTTATTGCAGCCGACAGTAGATGGTCAACGTCCGCCCGTGCTGACTCAAACTCTTGGATTCTCCCCTGATCTTCAACAACAAAAAATTAGGTTCCATTATATTCTGGAGGCATTTTTCTTTTCTATGGGTATCACTTGTAGTGAGTGCAAATATTGTCTCAACAAAAGCATCAACATGTGGCTTGGAATCCACTGCATGTTATAGTTCTAGTTCGGCTTGAGTTAGTGTTATTGTTCCTTTAACTTAATCACTTTATTTCCCGGCCATTATGATAGTTGCACCAACATAACATTTGTGGACCTCTAGGCATTTGCGACCTGAAGGCAACACCAAATTACGAATGTGCTACTTCTTTCACCCCTCAAATCACCTCAACAATGGAAAGTATTTGATACTCATGGTGGCTTCATCCATAAACCACTTCGAATTACCAAAGAAGTGACTATGTTTTGAAGTATAATAGTTTCAAAATTTCAAGAAAACAGAGTAATAGATGTTTATGAGTTCAGAGTCTTTTCAGAATATCAGATTTTTTCCCTCTCTCTTCCTGGATGAGTATCTAACAGCTTAGTTTTCAGTGTTTTGTAAACCCACATGCAAATGGAGGTGGCGACTGTACCGGGCCTGGTTTTGAGGTGGCCCCTTGGCCCATAATAGGCTTCCACTTCTTTTGAATCTAGGCCTGCACGGACCTTAGGCACCTCCTTCTGGCCAGCCTGCGGACTGCCCGTGCCAGTTTGGACCTGTGAATCTGTGACCTGGCCTATTTTAACAATCCTATGTGCAAAAATGTAGTCTTTATCATTGTCTTACAGTTGACTTGAACCTGGCCATGATTGACGGTGAATCATATTCCTCCAAAGTAGTGGAACTAATATAGAAGAACCAAGAGTTTATAACAGAAGAGATACAAATGATACAATTCAGTATCCTGGCTGAAATGACATGTTTTTTAGCTGGAAAATTATATAAGCAAAAAGAGGACAACTAATGTAACATATATATTTATCTTCCATCCAGAAGGGTAATGGTCATTTCGTTCATTGAACATGCGGCATTTGTGCTGGTTGAACTTTCAGCAGTAAGCAAATCTCTTTCTGTGAAGAAACCAGGTTTTTTAGCATCAGGCAGTACACCTTCGTTCCCCAACATTAGCACTACTAAAGACATGTTTGGCCTATCTTCTGGACATTGTTGAACGCATAGCAATCCCACATGAATTAATCGCAAAACTTCTGATAAATTGCCCGAGACACCAGGGTATGCTTGGACAAGTTCCAAAGACCGACCTTCTTTATAAAGCCTCCATGCCTGTACTACTTGAACTCATCTGAGAGGACCATTTTTGGAACCCAAATGCTAGATGGAGTAATTTCATTACAAATTAGATAGAAATAAACACATCGTACTTACATGTCCAAGAAGGTTGTGGTGGTGATCTCTGTGAGAAAACCCTCTGTTTCTTTTGCCACTCACTATCTCAAGCACTAGAACACCAAAGCTAAATACATCTGATTTTATTGAGAAAACTCCGTCTGCTGCATATTCTGGTGACATGTAACCGCTGCGTGATAAATTAACCAAGAAATACAGTTATAACCAATGAAAGAGAATTTGGTTTATCATGGGATTGAGATTCTTACTATGTTCCAACTACTCGGCTCGTGTTTGCTCCAGTCTCATTTCCTCCAAAACTTCTAGCCAAGTCAAAATCTGATATCTTCGGATTCATGTCAGAATCTAGCAAAATATTGCTGGCTGTGAGGTCTCCATGGATTATTCTGAGACGTGAATCTTGATGGAGATACATATGGCCCCTGGCAACGCAATTAATAATGTGGAAGCGCTTCGGCCAATCAAGAACTGCACTTTTCATTGGATCTGCAAACAATTAACAAAATAAAAAAATTAAAAAATTCCCTATCGTGAGAATAATTTGATTGTTGGATAAAGGAAATGAGAAATTACTTCCAATAGCAATAACAAAGTATCTTCAAGCATAAAATAGCATGAAACAGCACAAAGAATAAAGATTAATGACGTGTCCCCTATTTACAGTTGATCAGAAAATCTTTCGTCTAGATTTGATTAAATGTTTATGGAACTCTTTTATTTCACAGTATAACTAGTGCCCGGTATAGAATGTGATAATTCCTGATTGTGCAAGATGAATATTTCTTACCAAATAAAATCAAATCCAGACTTCTATTAGTCAAGTATTCATAAATTAACATCTTTTCCTCTCCTTGAATGCAGCACCCCAAAAGCTTCACAAGATTTCGATGCTGAAGTTTAGCTATACAAATGACTTCGTTCTTGAACTCATCGAATCCTTGAATTGAAGTTCTTGATAGCCGTTTGACAGCAACTTCCTGCCCCTCCTCCAGCCACCCCTATATCAGAAATCAAGCATGTAAAAGGAATTCATTTTCCATGATGGTGATTTACATAATTCATCGTCCTTCCACTTTTTACTTGCGAGGAAGGGCAATATTGATGCCTTTATGTGTACTAAAGACTTCATTTCATATAAGAGTAAATTTCCAAATTATTCTGTGAACAAAATATTTGATGTAGTGTGCTGATTAAACATCAATAAAATTTGGAATGAAATCTGAAAGCGTCAATTCCCAGTGTAGTGCCCTGTTATATTAAAAAAACTACATATTCCCATGTAAACAGGTCCAAACCCACCCTCTCCAAGCTTATTGTTAATTGAAAAATTATCAGTAGCTTTAGTTATTGTATGTACGTTGAACAGTGATAGCTCTATGTCTTTATTTTGCCTTTCATCTTGGTGATTGTCTATAAAGTTTTGTCCAAGGCCGCCTAAAACATAGAGAAAAGCAAAAGACGGTTTCCATTTCCATAGATAAGATTGGATTCTCCACTTGTCTTTAATAAAAAAATCATAGATTTTGCTAGCATACCTCCTCTTAGCCTTTGGTTAATATTCTTTCTTTTCCTAACATACAGAATCATACTCAGACCCAGCAGAATTATTCCCATACACAATAAAATTTACTAGTAGAATTTCTCTTTTCCGTCCTTTCAAGTCTGCACAATTAACCAAAAAAATTAAAAGAAAGGGATTGCTTTTCAATGATGATACATCCTTAAAAGTGACAAGCTCACAGATCATCTATAAAGGAAAGTAAGTTCCGAATTATCCCATTTTCTACTTGTTCGTCTAGTAATGTAAACATTCTACTTCCTTTGAATTCAAAGATATGTGTGTTTTTGGGATAAGCTTTCTATTAAGGCCTGTATTTATTGTAATATATAATATCAGTGAAAGCCATAATCTATAATATACTAAATATCACATGAAAGGAGAATCATTTTTTGAACGATTCTAGCCCTACTTACATGCATGTATAATAATTAACATTGAAAAGGAGGTTCAGGATAAAATCAAGGTTGCTAGGTTGTTGATTGCAGAAGCCAAGGAGTCGTATGACACTCGGTTAGAGATTCAGAAATTGAAATATAAAGTGATAATTATACATTGTATATCCAATTCTTAGTGAAGCATTTATGTAAATGCATGCATGGACACATACAATGGTAATTACATTGTATATATGTGACACGCATCAGCAGCATCAAATTTTCAATTTCATAACCAAAGTATTGACACAAACACACAAACATTAGTAGCAATAAAAACCTAAGTTCATGTACCTATATGGTGGTTCATGTACACACTTCTTTTATCTATATTCATTGATTCAAATTAATTAGATTTCATGTTCATGAATGAATTTGATTGTTGTCATGAATTAATCTCTCAATTAGTTACATTATTTTCACAAATTGGTTGTTGTTACATTTCAATCAATTCTTCAAATATTTTGCTCTCCCCTATTGTGGAATCAAAGGTTATATTAATTTATTTTATAGGATATTATGTTTTTGAATTTTATATTTATACAGTAAAATTGATAGTGAGAATTTGAGATGGTGTGGAGATAAGAAGAAGGAAAAAAGGGAACAAAAACTTTTATCTTACTAATCCGACGACTTAGTTTCTGGTATATTTAATAATTCTGAATCCATTCTTCAATTAATAGTAATTTATTATAATTTAGTCAACATTAAAGGTGTTGAACTTGCACTATTAATTCTTTTATCAATGTCAAAATGGTTATGTAAAGCAGGTTATTGTGAAGCAACTACAAAAGGTTTTAATTAAGTTGGATACCCCTAATCATACAAAAAATATAGTGTACAAAGAGATTCTCATTGAATAAG